GGTCCCTGCGTCCTCTCCCCCCCCCCGCCACATTTCTTCCCCCAGCCCTGCTCCTTGGAGGTGGCGGTGGTGTGGGATGCTGTATTTGCATATGCAGGGAGTGGAGGGGACAGCGAGACAAGCTTCCCTGCTTCTGGGAGGCAGTGCCCGGGGGGGGAATTAGGGTTAGCAAACTCTCCCCCTTCCATCGCCGCCCACCCCTGCCCCTCCTCCCTCCCCTCTGTCATTCCTAATACTGGCAGAACCCTAAATGGTATCCTGTTTTGCAGAAAGTGAGAAGAAAAAAATCACAACTGGGAATGTAAAAGATATCTCTAGTTTAAAAAAAATCTTATTGCCTAAATTAAGATAATAACTAAAACACTGCAAAAAGGTGTATTTACTGTTATGTATTCTGCTTGATTATTGAATAGGCATTTTTGCAGGTTCCTGAAAGAACTGTTTATGTTGTGAGCTGTATGATCAGAAACATGTTCCATAGCAGAATTGAATTAAAACATTGTCTCAGGCTTGAATTGAACCACTGTCATTCCTGTATTAATAGAGCAAAATTTGTGGTTATTAAATAATGGATTACACAAGTAGCAGAAATAATTCATATGCCAAAGAAAACAAAGACTTGTCAGCCACTTTAATTGTCAAATCTGGTTCTCTGTAACTTTCAGCTACTGTCTTGTTGCAAAACAAAATACTGTTGAATTATGATAAAGAACATTAAAACAAGCTAATATTGGTGCATAGCATTTATTGAATGCCCTGGTTTGATATTCTCTATTGGAACTTACAGTATTTTAAAGAGTATAGGCTAATAGTAGTTATATGTGGTTATATACATTGAGAATAATTGTGCCCTTATCTTCCAAAATTTAAAATCCTTCTCAGGAATTTTTAATCTAAAAAATCTTTTAGAGGATAGTTTTATTTTCAAATTTGAGATGTTTACTAGTTTTTTAAAAATTCTTAATATATCAAATATTAATTCTGAATGTTATATCCTGTTTACAGTGTATCTGATAAATGGCTAAAGAAAAGCTCCAGCCAAGTTAATGCAGTATAGTTTTTACAAACTGAGTGCAATCAAGCAGCAGGGAAAAACAGTAATGTTAACTGGTCTGCATCAAACCTATAGAGCAGAGCTTTCCAAACTTTTCATGTTGGTGACACACTTTTTAGACATGCATCATTTCGCGACACAGTAATTCAGTTCCGGGGGAGGGGCCAAGGGAAGCAGACGCGAGTAAGGGAGCTCCGCGGTGCCCTTCCGCAAAATTTTCTGCATTTCGCGCGACACACCTACACACTGCCGCCGACACTCTAATGTGTCGCGGCACACAGTTTGGAAAGCTCTGCTATAGAGCATGATTGTTCGTTATGCTGTTAGGTTTTCGTCCTCTGATACAATAACATTTATGGTAGAAGGAACTACAGACACACTCTCTGCATATATGAAAGTAGGGAGTTGTTTCTTTTTTTAATATAATTTACATTGCACCCTATATAGGAATCAGACTGCTGACAGCATGTGCAGTGTAGACAAGTGAACTGTGCCACACAAACTTTACAGTTTAACACAAGGAAATCAGAAGGTATTCATATTTTCAATAAGCTTCTTCTCTGGGACCCACTTCAGCAAAGTATACTGGGTCTGTAGTATTCTGCAGAACTCAGCATGGTTTGGTTCAGCAAGCTTCATCTTGCTCTGTTTATAACTCTCTCCAGTGCCCTTGACCTTGGAGCAGAGTTCATGGTTTCACAGCACAGTCTCTTCCTGTGAGGAATAGGTTGCAAAGCTGAGACTCTGAATTATTTTCCCCTATGAACACCTTTATGCAAGGTGCCTTAAATTAGGGCTGCCCAACTTCTGAGTGGCTGGGGGCCACATGCTGTTCAGGCTCCCATCTGGTCTCCCATACCCCCACAGGAGCTGTGTGGACTCCCCAAACTCCCTTGGCACATGGGCTCTGCAGACTCCCCAGCCTTTGCAGGCCATATTGCCTCACCCCCATGAACAGGGCCAGGAAGCAGAAGATAGAGGAGGCAGTGGGGAGAGCTGCAGCTGAGTGGGAGCATATGGGCATAACCCCTTGCAGGCCATGAGTTGGCCCATGAATCGGACAGCCCCGGCTTAAACTTTACTAGATTTAGGTGCAAGTATTGGTATATGAAAATGCAGAGTGGTTGTGTTGAAGCCCCAGTCAAACCCTAAAGTTTGATTTGGAAGGATCAGTATTATTGCTTTTTAAATTAAAATCCTAAAGATCACTTGTGTAGGATTAAAGTTTCTACAGGAATTTTGGATTTTCTTCTTTCAGATGTCACTTTTCAATCCTGAACACACTGTTCTAATTTGGCTTAAAAGGAACAGCTAATAAATAAATCAAAAGAACCAGTAAATTATATTCTAGGTTATATAGCTAGCACTCCCTATATTTAAGTGGGGGAGGAAGGGACAAAAGGATCTAATCATAAGGGGATAGATACTTCCTCTCATAGCCTAGACATGACCCCAAAATGACTAAGCTTCAGCATGTCAGCGTGTGCCTACAGGGCTAAATGACCATCTAGGGCTCCCTTACAACCTACAAATATGACATATGTTTAACAGAATCCATTGACACTCTGGCAAGCTGTAGTTAAGTGTAAACATTACAGGTACAGAGCGTGAAAGAACTATAATAGTTCTTTAAATAGCGTGAAACATTTAGAAAACACGTGGAATGAAGGCAGATAGAAAAGATATGTGAAATAACCTGTCTTGTTTGTTGGGTATTTTGAAGACTTGCATTACGTACAATGCAGATACAAGATAGATTCATGAATGACAATATAATAATGTTTTCAAGTCTCAGTTCCTTGTCCAGTAATGGGGAGATGCAGGACTCTGGTAACATGAGTGCATGACATAATGAATTAGGATGTCTTCTTGCATTTCAGTCTTAGTTGGAGATATTCTGCATGCTCCCCCCATTCTTCCATTCAACAGAAAACTTCCATCTGCTTTCTGTTACTTTCTTCCACAAATATATCTGTTCAGGGAAAGATCTTTGTTTCCTTGCTACTGTTCCCTGTACAAATATATCCCTCCAGCTATCTTGATATAGGAATCTAGGCTATGTGCTGGGAGAAAGTTACGCATCTTGCAGGGGTATTAGATTGCCTGCACAATTCTTTTAAAGAAATAAATAATTAAAAGTCTCAAAATGCATAGATGCACTCTTCTTTTAGAGTGTTCCATTTAGATTAAAAAAAAAAAATCAAGTAACCTTCTTTTTCTCTTGTTTTTCCAGTCAATAGCCTCAGCAGATATGGATTTGAACCAGCTGGAAGCCTTTCTTACTGCCCAAACCAAAAAACAAGGCGGTATCACAGCAGATCAAGCAGCAGTCATTGCAAAATTTTGGAAAAGCCACAGAACAAAGATTCGAGAGAGCCTGATAAATCAAAGCCGGTGGGACAACACCTTGAGAAATGTGAATTGGAGAGTAGATTTGAAGTCACAGTCAAGGCACATTGATCAAATAAACACCCCTGTTGCAATAGTTGAAATGGAGCTGGGGAAAAATGGGAAGGTGAGTTTTTTTTTTTGTTTATTTTATAAAGTTTGATTTAGGGATGTATGCATACAAATGCACACAAACCATTTTGCCTATAGATTAATGTAGTGCATCCAAATCAGCTCAGTATGCTGCTTAAATGCAGCTGTTTAATTCCAGTTTCTCCTTGTGTTTGAACCTTTTTGCACCCTCTTTGGGTCCCCCCCTCCATTAGTCCATAATTTAGCTCTCAAATCCAATTACTACCCCTACTTAATTTACATCCTGAATCTGAGTCGCAGAAGGCAAACAGCTACTGGGCGTTTCTGGTTATATTAGAGCTATTCTGAAAGTTGTTTGCTATACAAATAATATGCTAAAACTATAGCAAGTTACTCTCATCTTTTAAACAAGTGCAAGTGTTAGAGAGATTGCCAAGAGGCCAGCTCTCCTATGTGGAATGAACAGGGAAATTCCCTGTTTTAACTTGCTGAAGATTGCTTTTACTTTAGGATTAGACATGTGTAAGAGATTTGTTCTTTATATAGTATATTAGCTATCATAAAGATACAGATATTTCTCACAGCTTTTACTGTTTTATGCAGTCAAGCTCTGTTTGAAGGAGATGGCTTGACAGAGTAGCTGCTGAAAGCCATAGCTGGGATTCATTCTTTTCTTTTCTTTTCTTTTCTTTTCTTTTCTTTTCTTTTCTTTTCTTTTCGTCTTTTTTTTTCTTTTTTTTGGAACCTTTATGATTCAGATAAATAGATAATCAGTTTCCATAATGTAGATACTCATTTTCTTCAGAGAGGAAATTTGCTTTGGTATCTCTTTCTTTTCAGCGTATTTGAAAAACTTCGAGCTTTTACCTAAGCAGCACGCTGTTAGTAGTTCTTACCAATCACTGTTTGGAACTCCTTCCTTTTTTGTGTCTTTGTGACACGGCATTTAGCAGAATTCACAGATTTGGTGGAATCTGATGTGGCCGTGCTGTAAGCGCTTCTTCTATGGCCTTAAACTTGCGACCTCTGGGCTGTTGATCATTTGCCATAGCACCCACGGCATACCAGCTCCAGTTTGGAAATAACACCCTATTCAGTATGGGTTTGGTAAGAAATTTTAAAAGATGCAAGGATTTTATTATTGTTTTAATGCAAAATGGAGCCTGTGATAAACATACCATGCTGTGTTGTGCCCTTGCTTACTTTTGTGTAGTCACGTTGATTTAACTGGGGTTGCAGGAGACCAGAATGTGATTTTAAAGGTGTGCAAATAAAGAGTGAGTACAGCCTCTTCCGAAGTAGCATTCTGTTTGCTTTAACAAATGGCATTTTGTATGGGAGACCTTATTTGTTCAATCCAGCTCTTTGGGTTTTTGTTATCTAGCTTTTCAGGTCTTTTCTAGAGCACCCATCCCTATATGGGATGCTGCCCCTTCTCCATTTTTTACATTTCTACAGTGCGTACAATGTGTAATGTGTAACACATTTCTTTTCTATTTTCAGTAATGGTGAAAGGTTTTTATTCAATGTCTGCATTTTAAGATGGCAAATGACAAAGAAAAAACTCAACATTATAAACAAAGTAAAATGCAGAACTTTTGCAGTTTCTCATAAAGTTCTTAATTCTTGTTTTTCCTTTGTAGATTTCTGAGACACAATAGTTCACACTTTTTATCTTGCTGGTAATGGAGAGGGAACATGAAGGAGGCAGATAACAGGCATTTCTGAGAAATATGATTCTGATTTAAAAAAAGAAAAATCACAGCAAAGTATTCAATTTATGTAAAAAATATTTAGTCATTGCCCACATGAATAATCTTAACAATTTCATTTCGTATTTTAGTCATGTTAAAGGCAGGGGATTTTGGAAATACGCATTTTTAAACTACCATGAGGTCAAAATCTGTTATGCTCAGTGAATAAAAGGCTACTCAATATAAGTAAAGGTATTGGAATCTCACCTTTAAGAATAAGCAAACATGGATTAATTAGGCTTCTTATCATTTTGGAAAATTTGACTCAGAATTTGTATATATTTATAAATATTGCTTCAGAGAACTTTAGGGTTTGAGTTAAAATAGGCTTGTCATTTTCAGGGGTTTGTTCTTAATTGCTGATTGTTACATTAATATTTTGGCCGATTAGAAGTCCTTGGTACTGTCTTTGCAGTTATCAAAATACATACACTAGTATCTGTCCATAATTTAAGAGATAAACCTGTTTTTCCTCAGCTGTAAAAAAGATTGAAGGTATATTTGATTTGATTTGACAGATTTTGAAGGATTCTTCTTGGGTTTGTTTAAGAGCTTGCAAATGACTAAATTATTCAGAACAAAGCATTTTCATGTGGACACTTGATAGCAGGGGACATATGTGTACTGATGTGGAACGCATTGATATAAATATTTTATTTTGTTTAAACAGAAGTAGTGAAAAGATCTGTAGGAAGTACATCCTTCAAGAATTTAGTATCAGTCAGACAGATGCTGCTTATTTTTATTTCTGGAACCAACCAGAATTTAGGATAGTAGAGGGCAGTGTCAGATATCATCTGCTTTAAAATTGTAAATACGTTCATAACTTTAACTTTTTATGGTTTGCTGTGTTTGAACTTAAACATGTCAGTTGTATTATAATTGAATTTTTTAAAGGAATTAATAAGCAAAATGGCTCTGCTGAATAATAACACAGGACCAAGTAAAACATGTGCTTTGTCAAAATGTATTAACATTTTTGGATTTTTGTATGCATGTAATTGAAATACATTTATAAATTTAACAAGACTATCTTATATTCATATGTGATCCTAGGGACCTCTGACAGTGTGGGAAAAGAGTGCCCTCCTATAGCCAGGTACATATACTGCTAAAATATGGTCTCAAAATGAGAAATGTGTCCAATCCAAAATCACAGTTACTAATATTCCCAAAACTTTCAGAAGTTTTATTTGGATCTTGAATTTGCATCATGGCCTTTACTCAAGTGAAGACTTAACAATGACATTTTAAAGTCTCTTTTGTGCATACAGAATGTGGCTGTTGCCTGACTTAGCAAACTTGTCTGTGCTCTTTTGAAAAACCTATCACCATTCAGCTTCACTGATCCCTGTTCCTGTATGAATCTGACAGAAAATTGCCCTCTCTCACTTGCTTCATTGACTTGTTTCTTTATCTGCTCCTGACATTCTGCATTCATTACACTGGTCCTTTTTTCTTTCCTTGCCAACAGCTCATCCCTTTCCATACAAGAACCTTATCCTCTGCAATCTGAACAAGTCTTGTCTCTTTTTTCAGGTTTTTTCATATTTTTCTCTTTGCTTCTATCTCATTCTTCCGTTATCAGTTACTACTAGTTTTTTTTTTCCTTTAAAGCCTTTTCGTATACAGTATTGGTGATCCAGAAGTAAATGTTATTTTTTGAATGACGGGTTGCTATTAAACTTTGAAGCTGTGCAGTATATACTTAAACTTGCTTTATGGCTTATGCATACTTACCTTTCACTTGGACACCCTTACTGGGCTACTTTTTTCCTTATCTAATGCTCAAAACCATTTGGGCTAACTACAGACATTCAAAAAGCCTGAACCTGAATTGATTCCATCTTTGCAGGTTAGTCTAACTTGAGTAGATCGAACCAATTTGCAAGTGAATAGACATTCACTTTTGATTCCAGAAATGCAGCCACATGCCTGCAGTGGCTCAAGCTAGAAGCCAGGGGGGCCCTAGAGCAAGCCCTCCCTTCCCTTCAGCAGTTGATGCAAAGCTGGAGAGAAGCTGACTGGGGCCTTGGGGGTGGGGCATGGCCAGGACCTGGTAGGCTGCTGAGTATGATTCGGAAGGGGTTTAAACCATCACCCTGGCCTGCAGGGACCCCAGCCGAAGTGTGCCTGGAGAAGGAATGGGATAGTGGCCCTTGCCAGGTTTGTCCCCAAAGGAGGGGGATGTGGCAAGATACTGACCAGGGCAGCAGCCTCAGGCAAAGGCTGAGGGGGAGGGGGATTAAATTTTCCCATTCGCCTTCTGTCCCATGGGCATGGGGACCCCAGCGGGGGTCTACCCAGCTTTCTGCCCCACTGGCCTCTTGTGTGGCAGGGGCATGGCCAGACCTGGCAGCATGACCATGCTATCCGCCTCCATCACCCAGGGCGGGGGCTGCAGGGCTGAGCTGGGCCGGCCTGCAGGTGCTGCTGAGGGTGCGTGGGGGGAGGGGGGGGCTGGCTTGGGCTGGGCAATGTGAGCAGGGCCCTTCCCAGCCGGCTGCAGCTCGGGTTGGGGTCGCAGGAGCTGTGCGCCTGGATTGCACTTGGCTTCCCACGCCCAGACCGGGCTGGGCTGCCATGGTGCTGCAACCAGGTCTACGGCCCAGCCCAACCCGGGCTGGCCTCTCCACATCCAACCTCAATGGTGCCCACAGTCAGCCCAGCTCAGCCCTGGGTGAGACAGGCCAGTAGCAGAACTGGCCCAGGCCAGGCTATGGGGGCATGGCCCTTCCCAGCTAGCTGTGGCTCTATGACACACTGGCCCAGCATGCACAGGTGGCAGCTGGCCAGGCAGTGGCGTGGAGGCAGTGCTTCTCCAGCTGCAGGTAGGTGCCTTGGCAGCTGGACTGGCCATGTGGGACAAGTCCTTCATGCCCACAGCTGCCTGGGCTGGTTTGAAGGGGCCAGCAGGCTTGGAGCCCAGCAACTTCCCGCCAGGGATCTCATGATCACAGCCGCCTCCTGCATGGTGCTTGCTCGTCTGTATGTAGCTGCCATGTGATGAACAAGGAAGGACTGTGCAGGGTGCACAGCAGCAGGAGTGGCTGCAGGCACACAAGCCCCTGAAGAGGCCAGCTGCCGGGCTCCAGGCCTGTCGGCACCTCCAAGCTGACCTGGGCAGTGGCGGGCACAAAGGACTCATCCCGCACAGCCAATCCGGCTGCCAAGGTACCTACCTACAGCTGGAGCAGTGTTACTTCTGTGCTACTCCTGGGCCAGCTGCCACCCATGCATGCCAGGCCAGGCTGTCATGGAGCTGCAGTTAGCTGGGAAG